GCAGGCTCCATACAGGAAGCCTGACAGGGGACCCGATCCTGGGGCTCCAGGATCACACCCCAGGCTGCAGGTGGCGCTAAACCACTGCGCCACCGGGGCTGCCCGGATCCCCTCGTTTTTTTTTTTTTTTTTTTTTTTTTTTTTTAAGATTTTATTTATTTATTCATAGACACAGAGAGAGAGGCAGAGACACAGGCAGAGGGAGAGGGAGACGCAGGCTCCATGCCGGGAGCTCGATGTGGGACCCGATCCTGGGTCCCCAGGATCACACCACAGGCTGCAGGCGGCGCCAAACCACTGCGCCACCGGGGCTGCCCGGATCCCCTCGTTTTGATTAAAGCCCCAGGTCTCTTGAATCCACTCCAGTTGGATCTTGTGTCCTTGTTTCACCAAAACTGAGGTTTTTTTTTTTTTTTTTTTTTTTTAAGATTTCATTTATTTATTCATGAGAGACACAGAGAAATAGAGAAGCAGAGACACAGGAAGAGGGAGAAGCAGGCTCCCTGAGGGGAGCTTCATGTGGGACTTGATCCTGGGACTCTGGGATGACGCCCTGAATCGAAGGCAGATGCTCAACTGCTGAGCCAACCAGGTGCCCACCAAAACTGTTTTTATCAAGACCACAGAGACCGCAACGTTGCCGGTTCTAGTGGGCACCTCTCATACCGCTGGATTCAATAGTATTTGACAGTGGCCACTGACTCCCTTCCTTGGAGCACTTTCTTCTTTTGGATTCCAGACTCCATATACACCTGACTCTCTTCCTCAGACTCCTTCAAGTGTATGTTAGTGTCAGTCCTTGGACCTCTTTTGCTACATCTCCATCTCCTCCCTTGGCGAGCTCATCCAGCTTCTTGGCTTTAAGACCATAGCTTTGCTGTGACTTCTGAATTCCGATCTCCAGCCCAGAACTCCTTCCTAGACCGCAGGCTCCCATCTAACAATTTCCCTGAAATCTCCACTGAAACCTGATGAGCTTCCCAGTCTCAGCATGAGGATAGCTAAGCTCCTGCTAGCACCCAGATCTGGCTCCTGGCCCACCTCTGATTGCTCTGATGGTCTCCGCCCCTTGACTCTGCTGCAGCCACGCCTGCTCCCTGCACGCCCCCATACACACCAGGCTTGCTCAAGGGACCCTGGCCAGGCCCTGGAATACTCTTTCCCCACCTCTGTGTGGCTTGCTCTCCTTTCCCTTTCCTTCAGATATTTTTCCTTTCAGAAGATCCCTGATGCCTTCCCTGGCCAAACTCCCAACACCCACCTGCCTTGGAACACCACTCTTCTTTTTTTTTTTAAAGATTTTATTTATTTATTCATGAGAGACACACACACACACACAGAGGCAGAGACACAGGCGGAGGGAGAAGCAGGCTCCTTGCAGGGAGCCTGAGGTGGGACTTGATCCCGGGTCTCCAGGATCACGCCCTGGGCTGAAGGCAGCCACTAAACCGCTGAACCACCCAGGAATCCCTATTTAAAAAAATTTTTTTTTAAGTTTATTTATTTTTTAGTAATCTCTACCCCCAACATGGGGCTCTCGAACTCACAACCCTGAGATCAAGACTTGCATGTTTTTCTGACTGAGCCAGCCAGGCATCCCCTCCAGAGCCAGAACTCTTTTTTTTAATTTTTATTTATTTATGATAGTCACACACACACACACACACACACACACACACACAGAGAGAGAGAGAGAGAGAGAGAGAGAGAGAGAGAGAGAGAGGCAGAGGGAGAAGCAGGCTCCATGCACCGGGAGCCCGACGCGGGATTCGATCCCGGGTCTCCAGGATGCGCCCTGGGCCAAAGGCAGGCGCCAAACCGCTGCGCCACCCAGGGATCCCTAGAGCCAGAACTCTTAACCGTGGCGCACTCTTACTCAGGTGCGCCAGGTACCACCTCTGGGGCAACAGGGGAGAGCATGGCAGACCCTGTTCTTGTAGCGCATCTGAGTGGAGGTGGTCGATAAAAAAGCAAACAATGTCATTTCAGATTCTGATTTCAGGCATTTGGGCAGATGGACAGAGAAAAGCCTGGCAAGCCCAGGCCCACATAGGCCCTCATGAGCCGATGAGGCTAGATGTTGGGTGCCTTTGGATATTTTTTTAAGTGGGAGAATGACCTGGAATGTTTTAGAAGTGATTCCCCGGGGGTTGCGTGAAGGGGCCAGAGGGAGTCAGAGCAGGTGAAGGCGGGCAGCTGTGAGGTGTTGCTTGGGTCCAGGCAGAAGGCAGTATCCTACCACCCAACCTGCTTAGACCAGGATGGCAGAGGTGTTAAGTACAAAGTTTTAGAGATAGTTTTTCGGATTAAGAGTCAACAGGAAATAATGGAGGTGGGGGGGAATGGAAGGAACTAAAGGAGGTTGTTCGAGAATGATGGTGGTGAAAAATGCAGAGGGACTTATGATTTCTATAGTCTGCTCCACTACCCTGTTCCTAATTTTTTTTCTGATGTTTCCACTATCCAGACTTTCCTTACCTTCTAGCACTCCCAGCAACATCAGTGACTCTTCGATCAGAGCATGGGAATAGAACAGAGCCCTGGATTTAGTTCACTGGGAAACAAATCCCATGTCCTCCGTTAACCGTGTGGCCATGGACAAGTTTCTTCATGGGTAAAATCGGGTCTGTATGGGCACCCACCTCATGGGGTTGCAAAGCTTGAGTCGGAGCTTATCTTTTATATCCTCAGCATCTAGCAGATCCTTGGTAGGTTCAAATTTGCACATTTCAATTTATTTCCTCTCAGATCCTCAGCTGTCAAGATGAGGAGGGAACAGCATTTTCCAACACTCATTCACCTGGGCCCAGTGAGACTGACTCCCTCCATTTGCTTGAGAACAAGGTTTCCAAATTCCTCCCTGAAAGTTCTAAAGTATTCCTGATTTCCCAGGACCTATGTACGTAGTTATTCTTATCTTACCCTATAACGTTGTATGGTTTTTCTCCTGTGAGCTTTAGACCAGTGGCTGTTTGCCTCAGTTCCTTTAGTATTCAGAAGTGGGTGAACGAACCTTGTTGATGTTGATCGTGGAATTAGGCCACAGCTCCCACACACCACTTTGGGCCCAAATCCAATGGGTAGAGTTGTCAAATACCAATTCCAAAGCATAGCGGGGAAGGGAATCATCAGCCTAGGGGTCCATATCACTTCCATCCAAGAGTCCTAGAGTATTGAGACAAGCTCATCATGGTGGCCAGACATTTGCGTATGGAGAGCGCCAACTTCATCTATTTTGAAGAAGAAAATACCTGCCCCATCTTGTCATGTACAACTATGTATCAGTACCTCAACAGTGTGCAAAGTGCCCCTAACTTGTGCAACAGAACTGATTACCATAACCATTTCATGAGGACACTTTGACAAAAATAGAAACATGCTTTAGTTCACAAAGAGCAAAATTTAGTAGATTCTGAGTTAATTCAAAGGATGGCATTTCCTATTTCTAAACATACTAGCAAATTTCTCCTGCCCTATTGGAGATGCCCACTTTCCCCAGTAATTCTTCATGAATAGGCCCTACCATCTGCCCCTCTGCACTGCAAAAACCAAACTGGGGAAAATCCATTAAAAACTGGCTTCTTGAGGTCAGCCTGGCTGGATCAGTGGAGCACGGGACTCCTGGTCTCAGACTCTTGGGCTTGAGCTCCACGGTGAGGGTAGAACTTAAATAATAATCCGACTTTTTGCAGCTTGTATCATACTGTTACTCTGCTCAATACCAAGTAATACCAGCGCCAGCCTAAAGCTTCTGCAAAGGATTGCACTAAAAACTACGATCCCATGTCAAGACATTAGAATCAGACTCTAAAGCTAACTTTCTATTTCTCTCATTAAGTGATTTTTGATGGATCAATATAAAAATGAAATTGTTAAAAATGAGCTCCAGAGCAGGAAGAATGGAAGTCCAGCATCCTACCTATAGACTGGGAGTGCTCAGCAGCTTCACTCAAATGTTACAAGGAACGTCAGGACATTAGGGATGTGTTATAGGCTTTAGAAGGCTTATTACCCTCATCTCCCACTCATCATTCCAATGCTGAATAAAACAGTGCTAAGAATCAACCATTGGTGCTTGATTTAATAACTTCAGGGTTAATACACAGCATCTTGAAGAGCCAGATCTCCAATGCACTCACTTTTGAGCTCAAAACTGTTACATTTGCATTTATTTATCTATCTATTTATTTATTTATTTAATTTATTTATGATAGTCACACAGAGAGAGAGAGAGGCAGACACACAGGCAGAGGGAGAAGCAGGCTCCATGCACCGGGAGCCCGACGTGGGATTAGATCCCGGGTCTCCAGGATCGCGCCCTGGGCCAAAGGCAGGCGCCAAACCGCTGCGCCACCCAGGGATCCCGTACATTTGCATTTAAATTACCATTAAGGGCAGCCCTGGTGGCCCAGCGGTTTAGGGCCATGATCCTGGAGGCCCATGTTGGGCTCCCTGCAGGCTTGCTTTTCCCTCTGCCTTTCTCTGCCTGTCATGAATAAATAAAATCTTAAAGAAAAAAAAAAGTTACTATTAAACATTCAAAGTTTAATAGCATAGTAATGTTTATAAAAATGTACTTTTGCTACTTACGAAGATTCAACTATTTCCAGGTGATTCTGTTAGCCAGCTGGGTTTGTGAAATATTGGTTTAGAATACAACATATCCAAAGAGTTGAGATTTACTCCACAAATTTTACTTTTAAAAGTTCTTAAGTAATCTCTATCTGCAACGTGGGGCTCAAACTCATGACCCCGAGATCAAGGGTGTCCCATGCTCTGATAGAGCCGGCCAGGTGCCTCTACTCTGGGCACATTTTGTCAGGAGGAAAACCAGCAACTTTGTTTCCTTCCCATACAAAACTTCTCCTTTCCCCATCTCAGCAGCCCTGTCTCAGATATAAAGTGACAAAACACTTGATGACACTCAGATTATTTTTAATACGAAAATTTCAAGTGACTTAACTTCACAGCTAAGATGGATAATAAAGACCAAAAGCAGGTATAGTTTAATGTATTTTAATAGCAAACTTACAGGAACAGCACAGAAGACAGACAACATTAAAAACATGTACTTGCATGTAGGACAACTCAGTTAGAAAAGTATAGTGAATGGATGGAATCTACTGTATGATAAAAATGCTACAAACACCATTTAGTTGCCATCAATAAGAAATTTACTTGTTTTAAAAAAATCCAAATGCTGGCATTGTCCAGAAAAATTTAACAGGTTTATTTATAATTGTTATAAAGTTGAACTGCTGAAACGTGTTCACTGAAACATTTTGACTTGCATTAATGCTTTATGTCCCGCATTTATATTAAAAATTCACACACAAATGAAAATGGAAAAACTGCCAATACCTGATTTCTGTCCCCTATTTTTCCACTTGCAATCATATACTTAGGTACCTTTTGACCCCATGGAAAAAAAATATCTAACGTTCAGAGAACTACCAATAACAGGAAGAAGAGAAAAAAAAATTTTTTTTTTTTTTTTTAAAGAATGAAATGTTTTCCATCATAGTGGATTCTTAAGCACGTTCTCCACGTATGCGGCGTGCTAGCTGGATGTCTTTTGGCATAATTGTGACACGTTTGGCATGGATAGCACACAGGTTGGTGTCTTCAAAGAGGCCCACCAGATAGGCCTCACTTGCCTCCTGCAAAGAACAGAGAAAAAGATATTAATGGTGCTAATTACCAACAGTATAGATGCCTCTGCATCAGTTATAAAATGATGAGGTTTTGGGTCACCGGGGTAGCTCAGTGGCTGAGTGTCTGCTTTTCGCTTGGAGCGTGATCCCGGGTCCAGGGATCAAGTCCCACACTGGGGCTCCCTGTGAGGAGCCTGTTTCTCCCTCTGCCAATGTCTCTGCCTCTTTGTGTCTCTCGCAAATAAATACATACAATTTTAAAAAAGATGTGGTTTCTGAACCCTCTGAAAACCTACTTCAGGTGATGTTGACTATTTTACCAAATGCTTCTACTCAAACACCAGTGGGACAAAGTTGAAAGGCAGTTTACAACAGTGGAAAGCTCCAGTTTGGAAATCTTTATCCAATTACACAAAAGTCAAATTACTTCATTATTAAGAAAGTCGTTTTTTCCCTAATGTTTAATAGACAATTTCTTATAAACTGAAATGTCTTAACGACCTACAACTGAATCCAAGAAATCCCATCTCAACTCTAACATTCTCATCCTTTCAATGATAAATCGAATCATGTATCCAATCCAAAATAACACTCCCTTCACCAGTGACCTCCTTATTCTGAATCCCATTCACACTCCCGTACCTGCTTGAACCTCTGCCTTGCCAATAATCCACAGGCTCCTGACATGGCCCCATCTACCCTTCCTTTTACACTTGATCACATGAGGACTACGGGTCCCAGAATATACTAGATCAGATCAGTGTCTTATTCCTTACAGATTGGACCTATTTGGCCTAGACATGCCCCCTTCAAAGGGTGCCTTCCTCTGCATCCCAATCTCTAATAACCTTTTACCTTCTAGTATTAATATTGGTCCCTTTAGTTTTTTCCATTACATTTCAAGATTCTTTGAAGGCATCCTCTTATCCCCTACCAGCATTCACAAAACCACCAGCTGTAGGGTCTGTCCTCAGACATTTGGCAGGTGAAGAGGAAAAAGAGGAGCTTCTACTTATAATTAACTCAACTCAAATTGTTAGTCTCTCTTACAGCTGTGAAAAGCTGAAGCACCCTTTACTAGAAGCTGTAACATCTGCTTACTCATTCTGGAATGAAGAAACTGGGTTCCTAGCCCAGTCCTCAGCCCAACTGTTCTAGTGGACAAAGAGCATGAAATGAGAGGTTATCTGGCCCTGTCTCCTCCTCTACAGGGAAGTTACTTCTCTGTTGAAGATACTTAGAAAAAAGCAGATTTTTATACTTGCTATTTTTATCCTAATAAAACTTTTCCATTTTGGAATCCTTAGGCAATGATAAAACTAAAAACAACACATATCAAATACTTGAACAATTTAAGCCAGGTATGTTAATGATATACAAGACGTGTAGATAGGAACAGGCAGACTTGCTTTTTACAAAAAACAAAACAAAACAAAACAAAACTGAGATTTGCTTTTCATAGCATTAACACAGCAAACAATTATTTCAAATGGTTTAACTCCTTGGTACTCACTGGCCTCTACACCTGCCACCTTTTAATGCCAATTACTTAATGGAGTCATATATAATAATATGTGTGTGTGTGTGTGTGTGTGTGTGTATTTTTTTTAAGAGAGTATGGGAGCAGGGTGAGGGGTAGAGAGATTCAACAGTCTCATTTTGTACTCAGAATGCCTTGCTCTGGGTAGATATTCAAGATAGTTTTTTCCCCCCTTAAATCTAACTCTAAGTTTGCAGCATTTCCATGCAAACATTCCAAAGAATGTTTATTAAAAGCAGAACACCTTATCCAGGGACTCATTCTTAGATATAGCATACTGCAGCCTACTCTTACAGGTTCACAACACAAATCAGATCTTACGACTGATGTTCCTCAGGAAAAATATGGGTTTAGTCTTGTTTCACTCAGCATCATCTCACGACTGTGCACATCTGGAATGCTTTTGCAAAATGGAGCACTATGAGCTGCTCTATTTATGGACAAGCCAACCACAGGCCCCATGATCCTGAGACCTTTTAAGACCATGATCTATAGGCACCCTGGTCCTGGTCTGATGTGGCATGTAGCAGCCTGCAGCTGTCACTACCATCCTAGAACCTGGCTACTGGTGGTTTTACGGGCTTGTGCCTGGTCAGTTCTAGGGGAGTATTCGGTACTCACAGGGGGATTGGATCATGACCCATATTTCTAATTCTGTCACACAGGTCCTAAAGTCTCCTAAACACTAAGGCTGTAATGGGAATTAGAGAACGCCACGTAAACTTATAGCCCCCCCCCCCAAAACACCATAATTTTAAGATAACGGTTAAAAAACATCTCCCATTTGGAAGTAAATACGAATTTATGACATTTTGAGTATATTCAAGGTCTGCTTCTTCCACCATTTCAAAACATCAAGGTCTGAGTTTTTCACACAAGGACACCTTAGTCCAAACTCTCAGATGTTAAAGGCAAAGGCTGAATTTTAAGTTTGTCAACTCCTGATTATCATACAGACTAATTTCTCTCCCCCATTCCTGTACTTCGCCCCCTTCTGAAACTTGTAAACTGTGTAATTCTAAAGCCAGAAATTCACTGACTTCTGGAGTTTTATTTAATGGCTCTCTATTACCTTATTTCCATTAACAAATTCTCCATCTCCACATCTTAAAGAGACCTGAGATGTATAAAAAGAGCAAACACATAAAAAGCTGCAAACCAAGGTTCCTCTTTCCAATAAAGAACTTTGGAACTGCCAGAGTACCTTGGGGGAGCAGAGGCAAACATTCTACTTAAAACCCACACTATCACACTCACTAATGTAAAACACACCTCATAATTACAGTGACGATGTAAATTTACACGTTAATTAAGACAATAGTCCTCTACCCAGATTGTTTAGTCACTTCAATTTATAAGGCCCCATCACTGACAGGTAAACTGAAACATGTGGGACTTCCAAGTATAGCATGTTCTTGAAGGAGAGTCAGGCTAACTAGAAAACAAAACTAGCAGCTCTGTACCAAATGCTTGTCAAGCTCAGTGATGTCTCCACAGTTAAAAATACAGTGGGAGAAGAGAAATGTGATTTGTAATTGTAATCTATGAGACTTCAGGATATTAAAACAGAAAGTAGTTAAGTAACAGTACTGGAAAATTTTAGTAGTTTGAAATTTCATTAATTTCCATTCATTGAGAATTTAATGGATGCCTACTCCTGGAATGCACCAATCAAAAGAGGCTCAGACTAACCATAGAAACAGCTCAACCAATTACACTTCAGTGGAGAAACCACCTATCCAATCTTCCTCACAGAGAGAGCAACAGCTCAGCACAGCAACAGCAGCCTTGAGAATCCTCCAATGGAATGTTATATGTAGACTGTGGACCCTCTCCCCACCAGAGATTCCAGTGCAGGTCCGCGGTGCCTAGCAATCTGCATTTGTAATCACTTTCAACCCACTGCTCTGATGGACATGGCAGCCTTCCCATACCTTGAGCGTTCACTGATCTAAAGAATGCCAAGCACTACATAAAATAGGTTACACTTTACTGATGTTAAATATATCCTTTCAGCCAATCAAGTATCTTCCTTGTGGGCATTTCAAGTTTTAATCTTGGCTCAAAACACAAATATTTGGGGCAGCCCTGGTGGCTCAGGGGTTTAGCGCCACCTTCGGCCCAGGGCGTGATCCTGGAGACCCAGGATCCAGTCCCATGTCAGGCTCCCTGCATGGAGCCTGCTTCTCCCTCTTCCTGTGTCTCTGCCTCTCTCTCTCTGTGTCTCTCATGAACAAATAAATAAAAATCTTAAAAAAAAAAAAAAAAACCACAAATATTTCAGATACATAATTACCTCTAAAACTATTTCTCAGTTCTGATGCACAGGTGCTAAGATTAAACTCAATAGCTTCCCATTTAAGTGGAAATCCATAATCCTCTTTAGCTAACTACAAGTCTTGAAATCCCTGTCCCTTAACACATACCATTTAATCTTTCAGCAAACCTTTTCTTCCTATCGCCAATCCAATCCTAACTACCCCTGTGCTTCCTCTGACCTCATACACAATTCTTTAATACAGCCTATGCCCATCCCAGACACTTCTCCCTCTCCTTGCACCTGCTCCCTCGGAGTCAGTAAGACATTCATCCTACATTCCTTTTCCAGTGGTCACTGTTTAGTGCTGATTACCAATACAGACCTTTAGTCTCATTGTCTTTGTACCATCCTGCAGCACGATGAACAAGAGGGTTCTTTCCCCCTTTAAGCATTGTTCTCAAAGCAACGTTTAAAACTTAAAAAGAAAAAAAAAAAAGGCATAGAAGAACGCGCACTTGGCTTTGGCATCAAACGGGTTCATTATTAGGACTCTGGAACCCAAATGGGATCAAATGACATTTCTGTATATATGACCTTGAACAATGTAATCTTTCTGATACCTCAACAGTGAAGTATAGGTATTACCTTACAGGCCTCTGATAATTAAATTATATAAGCAACATAAAGATTTAGAATTGTTCTTGGTACCCAGCAGAGCCTTTCCCACCCACCATTTTACCTGCAAAGCACCAATAGCTGCACTCTGGAAGCGCAGATCTGTTTTGAAGTCCTGAGCAATTTCTCGCACCAGACGCTGGAAAGGAAGTTTGCGGATCAGAAGTTCAGTGGACTTCTGATAACGTCTAATTTCACGGAGTGCCACAGTACCAGGCCTTCAAACAAAACAACACAACAAAAAACCCACGTTAAAGTAATGGTTACCAAAACATATAAAAAACGTAAAAGGAGAAGTGGTTAGCTTTAAAGAAATGCAGTTAATATCCAAAAAACAGACCCTCCATGTTTTCTTTAGCTTCTATAAGTTTCACTTATCAATTCATAATATGATGTGAATATTCAAGCCTATCAAGAGTAACAGTACCTTTAAACCAAAAAGTATGGTATTAAAGTAGAGTCTTGGCAGGGAATTCATTCAAGTCCCGTTCATCTTCATCTATAACAGATGTGGCAGTAACTTCTGTTATCGTAATTTAGGAGAGTGTTGCGCCATTAACAATAAAGTCAATTCAGACTCTTCTCAATTTGGCATCACACTCACTCCCACCCGCACCCTCAATTCTTCTGAAAGACCTACCAACACCACCCAATGAGCCTCGTTTAAAAATACTATTGTAGGGGATCCCTGGGTGGCTCAGCGGTTTGGCGCCTGCCTTTGGCCCAGGGCGCAATCGTAGAGTCCTGGGATTGAGTCCCGTGTTGGGCTCCTGGCAAGGAGCCTGCTTCTCCCTCTGCCTGTGTCTCTGCCTCTCTCTCTCTCAAATAAATAAATAAATAAATAATAAATAAATAAATAAATAAATAAATAAATAAATAAATAAATAAATAAATAAATCTTAAAAATAAAAATACTATTGTGGTCTATTTAAGTTGGATTCCCCAGAGTGCATTTATTAGACTACTGCTCATCACTCGGGAATGATCCCACCTGAGTACTCATGATTGTGCAGTGTATCTTCCACGTGGAAGACTGAATGTTTTTGTTTTTACTAAGTAACTGTTGGCAAAAAAAAAAAAAAAAAGTACCTCAAGTCTGACTTATTTTCTTCCATCGAATGAGCTTTTTAGAGTAACTATAAAGTCATTCAAAGAGATTAAGTACGGACAACTTCTGCCCTCTAATGGCAGATGCTCTTAACAGCACTGTTTAGGGTAGTTCAAAACCCACACTGTGCTAACAACAAGGAAATAAACCAATTCAAGTAAACGAGGGATGAGAACTTTACTCAAATAAGATGTCCCCCATCTTGGTTACTGGGAAAATAAATTTAATATTAAAACCTGTCGTTTCACCAAAAGTGACAGTGTCCTCAGAAATGTTTATTTAAAACACTACGATTTAAAAAATATATACCACTAACATAACAAACGAAATAAAATGTTACTCCATCCCACGAACGTTATTAGTGATTCAATAGGTCTCCTTTCGGCAGTTTCAAAATAAAACGTTCCTAAAACCCAACACTAAATTCACACACACACACTTTTTCTTCCAAGTATTAACAAATACTCAAAGGGGGAAAGACATTAGTTTCCCTCAAGCAAGAAGTTTGATTATATACCCCCCCTTTTTTTTTGACTATACACCCTTGTGTTATATTATATAAATACTGCTTCCGTGGACAGACTTTGTCCCACTATTTCCTTTTTTTAAAAAAAATACCTGTAACGATGAGGTTTCTTCACCCCTCCAGTAGAGGGCGCACTCTTGCGAGCGGCTTTTGTAGCCAGTTGCTTCCTCGGTGCTTTACCACCGGTCGATTTGCGGGCAGTCTGCTTTGTACGAGCCATGGTACAGAGACCTCCTTACTTACCTACCAGCATTAAAAAACGAAAATCATGTCTCCGCCTACCAAACACCCAAGTTTCCTGCCACAAGCGCCCCCCCATCTGGAAATTACCAGTACCCCCCCCCCAAAAAAAACCAAACAAAACCCAACAATGTCCGTAACGTTATGTAATTCGAAAGGGTGCAGATTACGTCTACCACCCAAATAGGACTTCTTGAAACAAACTGTAGTACCAGAAGATTGTTAGCATTAAGGCCAATCATCTCAAAAATGCCAAATCTGAGCGACAAACGGCAAAACAAAAAAGACCCCAAACTGCCTCTGCTTCAATGTCTTCAATTAAATCAGAAATTAGAAATGTCTGTAAACACCCAATCCACGGACAAGTCAAAACAACGAAGCCACAAACCACAGAAAGGTCGAGTCAAATTTCGGGGGGAGGGGGGTTTTCCAGCTCCCCCCACCCCCCGCGGCCGCCCCCCGCGCGCCCGGCAGCGCACAGACCGCTGTAAATATCCGCAAACAGCCCCGCTTTCCGTCGGTACGGCTCCCGGGGCGCCGCGGGCCGCCCGCCCGGCCCGGCCCCGCTCCAGCCCGCGGGGGCTCCGCCGCGACCTCCCCCGAGGGCTCGCCGGCCCCGCCGGCCCGGCCCGCCGAAACTTTGGGGCCCGGCCCCGGCCCGCCGCCCGCGCGGCTCCCCAGCCCGGCAAGATGGAAACAATCGCGCCGCCGAGCCCATTCCTCCCGAACGCACCGCACACCAAAACGCTCCAAAATGCCCCGATCCCCTGCCACGTGCCGCCCTCCAAAATGCAAAAGTTTTTTTTTGCATTTCAAATGCATCAAGTTTCCGCTTCTCCAAAAAAGGAGAGAAAAATGTCCCTCTGCGAAAAACGTTCCCCCGTCCGTGAAACGGGGAAGAGAGAAACGGGGGAGAAAATATGGTCGGTGACCAGAGAAGAGAGACAAGATGGTGAAGCTCAGCAACAACTGTGGGGAGGCAGCGAGAAGCGAGTTACCCCGGGGTGGGAAGCGGCGGCGATTTCCAGCCCTTTCCCGCCCGAAAACCGCGGCCCGGGGCCCGGGGACGGCAGTTAAGGGGCCCGCGCGGGTCGTGGTGAGGGTCTGGGGTCCCGGGAAGGGGCAGCGGGCGGCATTTCGCCGAAGAAAGAGGCGCCGGGGGCGCGGGGCGGAGGGAGAGCGGCTCGGCGCCGCGGCGGAGGCTGCTGTGGGGCTTAGGCGGCGAGAGCCGGGGAGAGCCGCCGCCGCCGCCGCCGCCGCCGCCTCGGGGCCACGGAAACTCGCTCCTCACCTCCATTTCTGGGCCAAAAAGTTTGCGGGCCGAGCCCGGGGGGGCCGCGGGGCCGCCCCCGCCGCGCCAGGGCCCGACCCGCGGCGGGCGGCGAGCGGGGCTCGGTCCCGGGGAGGCGGGCGGACGGGGAAACTTACCCCCCTTCTCCTTCGGCTGGAGCTCGGCGAGCTAGAGGCGGCGCTGGCGTTGGCGAGCGACGGCGGCGCGGCGGCGGCTGCGAACACAATTGAAAGATGGCTGACACCGAGGCTATCCCCCAACACACGCCGCCCCGCCCCCGCGCCGCGCGCCAGCCAATCACAAACAATGGAGGGAAGGCTCGGCCCCGCCCCCGGCCCCCGCTCGCGCCCCGCCCCCGCCCCTCCCCCCGCGCGCCCGTTCGCTGGCGCGCGCTCGCCCCTCCCCCGCGCGCCGCCCGCTCCCTCCCCCCCGCCGCCTCGCGCCGAGTGTGTACAAACACAAAAGACGTGCCGGAGGGCCGACGGCTCCCGCCGCGACGGCCGCCCGCCCGCCCGCCAGCCCGCCCGCCAGCCCGCCCGCGCACCCCCGGCCGGGCTCCAGCGTCCGGCCCGCTGCCCCCCCCCCCCGAGCCCCCCCGCGCCCACGTCATCCTCGCCCGGAGCCCGGGGTCGGGGCGCCCAGGGCGGTGGGGGAGGGGCGGCGGCCCGGGCGCGGCCGGTGAACGCCTGGCCTGCGGGCGGCGGCGGGGCGGGGGAGGGATGGGGTGGGGAGCGGGGGCGGCCCGGGCGGCCCGGGCGGCGGCGGCGGCGGCGGCGGGGGTTGGGGGGTGCGGGCCCGAGGCCGCGGCCGGCCGGGGGCGGCCCCGGGGGAGGCGGCCCGCCCGCGCGCAACTTTCCCCGCAGGTGGCGGCGCGGGGCCGGGGCCGGACGCCTGACGCAAGATGGCTGTGCTCGGCGCGCCCGACAACAATGCGCCGCCGCCGCCGCCGCCGCCCGGCCGCCGCCGCCGCGCCAGCCCAGCGCCGGGACCTCCGGGGCCGCGGCGCCCGCCCGCCTCACCCGCGGCCGGGGCGGCGCCTGGGGACTGGCCGGTTCCCGTCCTCGGGGCGCCGGCAGGGTGGGTGCCCGGCCCCGGGATGGTCCCGCCGCGGTGCGCGGCTCCGGGGGACGGCGGGGGCGCTGCGGGGCGCTCACGGCGCCGGCATCTTGGCCGCGGACGGCGTCCCGAGCGGTCGGACGGGGGAAGAGTCGCCCAAGGTCACTTGAGTCGGGGGCCGGCCCGGGAGCCGCCGCGGGGCTCCGCGCCTCGGGCGTCCGCCCGGACTCCCTGGGCCCGGGCCGCCTGCAGCCGCCCCCGGAGGGGAGAGCCCCGTAGGCTCGGGGCCGGCCATGCTGCCCGCCCGGACTTGTGTCATCCGCGCCCACGAGACTTGGCTTGTCGTGCTTTGTTGGTTTTTGCTTTTGTTTTGTTTTCAGGAAACCAAAATGTTTGTAGTTGGACTTATGCGGGAAAGCTGTCCTACCTCAATTACATCGTTGTATCTTCAAGAAATGTAAAGTGACCTGGGTAGAAATGCTCCCTCGGCGTGCTAGATTTTTCCATAGTTTCTATTTTTTGGCTTTGAAAGAGATTTCTAAGGAAGGGAAAGCCTACGGCCGGCGAGAGAGTTCTGGCCTCGGATTATCTGAAGCAACTCAGGTGTGCGGCTATAAAATAGAAGGAATATTTATCCCTTGAAGGTAGACCGCGAGCTCGTTCTAGTGGTGGGACGCCGCACCCTGGCTGGGCGTCTGCTTATTTACCTAGTGAACTCGGGAAATCTCAGTGAGTGAATATATATATATATATATATATATATATATATATATATATATTTTTTTTTTTTATGATAGTCACACAGTGAGAGAGAGAGAGGCAGAGACACAGGCAGAGGGAGAAGCAGGCTCCATGCACCGGGAGCCCGACGTGGGATTCGATCCCGGGTCTCCAGGATCGCGCCCTGGGCCAAAGGCAGGCGCTAAACCGCTGCGCCACCCAGGGATCCCCAGTGAGTGAATATTTCTTGAGTGACAACTGTGTGCCAGGCACAGGTCCGGGTGCTGGGAGTAGAATAGTCAAGGACACAGGCCACCATCCTGCCCTCCTGGGGCGTAGGACCTCCGGGAGCATTGCCTTGCTCAGGGAAGTGGCACCTGGACAAGGGAGAGGAAGGAGGTCCCCTGGGGCCAGAAGACTGGTAGGAAGCTATGGCCCAGAGAAGAGGGCTTTCAGGTCCTAATGACCCGGCAGGAGAAATGCCAGGGCAGAAACGGGATGCTAAAGGGGCGCCAGGGTCAGCCCAGAGTTGGCGCTACTTGTAAAACTCTTGCACTAATAATGGCCTCGAAATTTGGAGTAAAAAAAAAAAAAAAAAAAACAGGGATGGGGGAGGGGCAGGGGAGGAAAAGCTTTTAAGTTAAAACACTTTTCCTAGAATAGAATGCTTATAGCCACTAATTTAGATTTGTTTATAAGTAAAAGTAAAAAAAAAAAAGTAGAATGGGAAGGATTTTAAAAGCACCACTATTAATATCTGCTTGGCTCCTGAGGCAGTCAGATGCTGTCATGGAGCTGCTGTTTCTGGCTACTCTGGTGCCACCCCCACGCACACTGTCATATTACCCTGTTTCTTCAGCACATTGATTTAAATGATCATATTTGTTTATTTGTTGTCCGTCTCCTCCCCAAAGAATGTGAAGTTTAGGACAGCAGTGGGCTTACTTGTTTCTTTCCACTGGTCTAGCACTGCCGCCCCACTCCACCCCCAATTTGGGGGCTGTTCTAATTTGTTCTACTTCCTCACTAGGTGATCACAGTCAGCACCGTGGAAATTGTCAAAAGTACAACAAAAAGTAGCAAGAATAGTCTAATTCTAATGCACCCATCACCTACCTTCAAAAATGAGCTATTCATGACCAATCTTGCGATTCATCTACTAACTTCCCTGCCTCTCCCACTTGAATTATTTTGAAGCTAATCCCAGACTTTTTACATCATTTCATGTATAGATATTTCAGTATGTATGGGTAGGAGCCAAATAAATGGTTGATAGGCCTATTAAATCTCTTTGTAGAGTCGTTATTTGCATTTTTTTTTAAGATTTTATTTATTCATGAGAGAGACAGAGAGGCAGAGACACAGGCAGAGGGAGAAGCAGCCTTCATGCAGGAAGCCCGATGTGGGACCTGATCCCAGGATCCTGGGATAATGCCCTGAGCCAAAGGCAGACCCTCAACTGCTGAGCCACCCAGGTGTCCTTTGTTATTTGCATTTTGTTGAAAAATCCATCCTGGGGCTTTGGATCCCAGTCCTCTCCCCAAAACTGGTTCTGTCCAGTCTTGCCCAGTGAAGGACATCATGATTTGTCCTGCTGCTCCCACCAGAAGGCACTGGCATGCTCCTCCAACTTCCCTTTCTTCCCACCATGGTCCTGTTATTCCTCCTTCTGGAAAGCACCTCGGAATGACCTCCTTACTCTTCCCTTCTCTCTGGGCCTCACGGTACTGTCCTATGTGGCCTCTCTCCACTTTTGCGACTCTGTACTCCATCCTCTCTGCCACAGCACACGAGATGAGATTCATAGGCGGTAAATCAGATTAAGTCTCGTCCTTGCTTAAGTCCACTCAGTGGCTCCCATTGCTCGGGATACAATTGGTGCTTTGCAGGATCTGCCATCATTCCCACCCTCCCTGTGGCCTGGTGCTTCAGCCCAGCCACCTTGGGGCTGTCAAGCCCTTCCCTCCTGCGGGTCATGGCGCTTCTGTTTCATGCTGAATGCTGTCCTGCAGCTTTTCAGAGGGGGCTACCTCGCTCATCTCTTAGAAAGTGATCCTATTTGTAGGGGACAGTGAAGAGAAGTAGCAGGGATTTGGTGACATTGATTAACAATTTCATTATACATTTGTATATATTCTATAATCACTATAAAAAATTCTATTTTAAGGAAGATATTAAATATTAAACTAGTGTAAAACTTCCAAATGTTTTCAAAGGTTTCAATTGAAAACACTGAGCTTGTGTCTGTGAACAGGATGTTTTATGTCAAGTTTTAAGCTTGAGATGGCCGTAGTCTATTCCTGATCAGAACTTTATAATGAAGATCTCTGCATATTCTTTATGGTCTCATCCTTGAGAAAGTCTGTTCACACAAATAGGTGGTAAAGAATGCAAAAATGATTGTCTTGGACTATTCAAAAAAGTATACCCATTGAGTTTCGATATTTAAAAATCTTCCCTTTTGGGATCCCTGGGTGGCGCAGCGGTTTGGCGCCTGCCTTTGGCCCAGGGCGCGATCCTGGAGACCCGGGGTCGAGTCCCACGTCGGGCTCCCGGTGCGTGGAGCCTGCTTCTCCCTCTGCCTGTGTCTCTGCCTCTCTCTCTCTGTGTGACTATCATAAATGGATAAAAATTTAAAAAAAATTTATAAAAAAAATCTTCCCTTTTGTTCATCAACAAATGTGATCTCGTACTTCCTTGTGAACTGATTTTGAGTCCAACGAAACTTTTGAAAGGTCACGCATTTAAAAATGATTATGTAGCTCAAATCTGTAGAATGCCCACGTGCTGCTGAGCAGTCGCCCCAGGGCTGCCTGGGTCACAACCAAAGGGGTCTGTGCACTAGAATGGAGACAAGTGCGCTGTAGAAAGATGGAAATGCAGGTCTGTGCCAGGATATCTGTTGAGCCTCCTTGGCCTCAACCCTGGCCAGCTGCATTTTGGGCTGCACCAGTGCTCCTGGGCCCCTGGCATGGGTATTCCTCGGTGTCCTTGCCTGTGATGGGCACTGTTCCCTGCCCCAACTAAAGCAGGGATCTAGGGGCTAGAGCACCTCCTTGGCTGTGCTCATCTCATGTGCATATCATGTAAAACAGGGAGTGGGGCCACCTCGGTGGCCACGCAGCAGGGGTCATGCTGTTCAGGCTGCCCTCCAAGGAGACCCAAATGAGGCTGCTCACAACTAGGGCCTTTGTCCCTAGGGCTGAAGGGACCTACCTCCTGGTTCCCTGATGGCCCATCAGAAAGACCACTGCAGCTGTTCTGAGGCCTCAGCGCCAATGTCACTTCTCAGAGTGGCACCCCACATCCTTGTCTCCTTGTCCCTACTGCCCGTATGGTACTTTGTCGCATTTCCAGGTTTATTTCCTTCATGGTAACTCTTATAAGCTGGCATTTTGTTGATTTGTTTCCTGATTTGTGGTCCCCCCGCCCCCCACGACTAGACTGTAAACTTAATGAGAGCAAGGGCTTGGATGCTTTGT